TATGATAGGAAAATTAATAAAAAGGCATGAGAACAAGTTACAAAACCAGATTTGTATAAAATTAAAAAAATCTCGATCAAAAGTAACAGTTTAAACTTTATAAACCAAAGATTGTACGCCATTCTTTATGAAGAAAATTTTATCACAAAACTTACTATAATTAATCTTATCCGGCAAAACCTTTTTCTTTTTAAATAAAAAAAAAAAATTATATATATATATTTCGTGCGTTGATTGAGTAATTGTTTATTTTATAAATAAATTCTTTATTATATGTTGTGATTTATTCAAACAAATTTTTTTACAATTAATTATACCTTTTCCGTATAATTTTTTTTTTCATTTTTTTTTGGGTCAAAAAATTTTTTTTTTTTTTCTGTTTACAATTTATTTAATTTATTTGTAATTTATTTATCAGATTTGTTTATCAATCAAATAATAATAATTTCTCACGAATAACGTATATCTATTCGACTTTTGAAAATTAAATTGCGTGATATTTAATTATTTTAAAGTATTTTAACTTGTAAAAGTAAAAAAAAGGCAATCATTAAATCATTTAATTAAATTAAATTATAAATACAAGCTCTCTTCAAAGTCGCGCGATTTATTTATTAGTTAAAGTTATTTAAATCTCCTTTTTCATCCCTGAATCTTTATTATTATTATTTTTTTAAAAAAAAAACTTTTTATTTTTATTTTTTAAAAAGAAAAAAAACAAACAATTCCAAAAAAAGTATTTTAATTTTCTCCTTAACAAAATCGCGTGATATTAATTTCAACCAACGAAGAAATTGAGGGAACAGAATAAGTTTTTTTTTTCTCTATTGGAGAAACAAATTTGGGATTTATTTATTTTATCGATATTTTCTTTCGTGTAAGTGTTATAAGTGTGCAAAAAATTTGTACGACATTGCACCATCGCATTAATCGTCCAATAATTATACTTTAGAAGAGGGCAATTAAATAGTTTGATATACCCCATGTACACGTTAGGAATAAGGGTTTTTTTTTCTTCTATTTTGTTTCTTTGTTTTGTTATATTGTTTATTTGCTGTCAGTTGGCGGAATCTTTTGACCAAAACAATTCGGGCACTCACCCCAGCCATACCATTTTGTGATATAATTTAACTGAGTAAAAAAGGGTTTTTAATTAATTTATGGGTATTATAAATTTATACTCTCAAAACAGATTGGGGATCTTACTCTGACGAACTTGGGAATTGTTTGATAAGATAAGGGAAGAATGCGATACTCATTAACACATTGTGATACCATGTGATACTTTGCATTTTCTTCTGCAGGAACAAAAAAAAAAATTATCTTTGGGCGCAAGCCATGAAATAAAAATCCTTTAAATGAAGCGTAGATCTCTGTTTTTGCATTGTTGCTGATGCTCTCTTCGATAGACAAACCGCGCACTTTTTAGATTGTGTACATAGAACTTTCTAATATAAAATTAACGAATTTCATTATAAATTTTTTTTTTTTTAGTTTCTGTCTGCTGTAAAATTTTCCTTCTGGCTCCTTTTTTTTTTTGAAAAAAAAAACTTTAAAGAAAAAAACTTCCTAAAACGATGGACAGCACTACAGTATGTTCTTTACCATCGATCGATCACATGACGTCGAAACCAATTGTCGTGACGTCACCAATTAACAGACAACCGTAAAGCTTTTTTTTTTTTTTTTTATAAATTTTTTTTTTTTTCACTTTTAATTATAATATATTAAATAAAATAAATTCATAAAAAATCCAATTAAAGATTCTATAAAACAATGTCTGAATCAAAAGGGTCCCTTCCACCATTATCATCGGTATTGCGTCCTCAACATCCTCAGCATAATTTATCAGATATTCAAAGAGAAAGTCCGGACTCTGTGAATAGTCACCGCTCTCCAATGATGTCGCATCATGCTGATAATACACCAGTTATCCATGAAAAATACGATGGTGTGAGCCACGAAGATCATAAACAGCAACAGCAACATATAGTAAGAACAACCCCTCCCTTATTTCAAGCTCCTCACAATCACATATCAGGACAATTGAATTCTCCTGACCATCGTCCACCTCAAAATAGTGTTGCACATTCTTCACAACGCGATATGCGTTTGCCTTCTTTCAAACATTTTGAAAATATTCAGCAACCATCATCATCCATAAAGCAACATCAAGTTTACTCCCCATGTCCTCCATCACAAACAGCTAATATACAAATACCTACACCAACCCCTCCTCCTATTTACAATACATCAAAACCATCTACGATGTCAAATGGTATTAGAAGTTCACAACAATGTAATTTAGAATATTCGAACACTTTTAATCATTCAGAAATATTACCACAATCACCATCACATCTTGCTCAAAATTCTACAATGTGGACAAGAACTCAACCAATTTCACATTCCCCAAAACAGTCCCAATCACCTGTTGTTACTAGCATTTCATCTCAAAAAGCTCCAATATATCAAACTATAGATTCAAAACCACCGGTTCGATTTATTACCAACAATTTTTCTCAAGAATATCAGAATAATGGATCTTTTGTTAAAGATAATGCAGAATCAAATGTTGGTATGCAGAATACTGACAAGTTATTAGCAGACATGCAAAAGGTAAATTGATTGAATTACAAATGAGACAAAGTTTATATGGTTTTTTTATAGTCATAATGAGTAATATTTCACGTTTTTTTTTTTACAGATCGCAGACCATTGTACTATAATTAGTCAATTTGCAACACAGTATGTTGAATATCGTAACAAATCATTTCCACCTAACTCATGGATTTCTAGTCCTACAGGAACAAATCTGGAGCAGCAAGTATCTGAAATGATCAGCAGGACGTGTGAAATTTTAAATGTATTGAATTGTGTTAAAGGTGAAATTGGTCAAACTGTTTCGGTAAAGATCTTTTTATCTTTTATTTCTACATGATAAATTTATACAAGTTTTTGAACTAAAATTCGTATGAAATAATAACTTATAGAATGATCAAGATACAATAAACTTAATCAGAACCAAAAGAACAACAGTTGGCCCTTCCGCAACTCGTACTAAATACCGAAAAAGGAGTGTAAGTTGGTTTATTATATATGATTGAGATGTTTAACAAATAATTGATCGATAAATTTTTTTCCTTTAGAAACGTGCTGCGCCTCCTGGCCGATGTCATTCATGTAATATATCCGAGACTCCAGAATGGCGTCGAGGTCCCGATGGCGCCAGAACTCTTTGCAACGCTTGTGGTTTACGTAAGTTAAATTATACCATTTTCATAAATTTTTTGAACCAATGTTTATTCATATGCATAATTTAACATGTATATAGACTTTGCAAAATTGACTCGAAAACGTGCTCTTTCGGCCATGCAACAACATCAACAACCACAAGTTCAAGTTCATAAAATGTCTCAAATGAATCAAATGACCCGCAATACTTCAATCTTACCTTCTATTCAGCCAAATGGCGCGCAATCTAAGCCTCCAATGGGTATCATTGGAGGAATACATCTTGCACCACCTCATCAGTCATCGCAAATGATGCAAAGTCCTCCTAAACGTCTGAGACATGATATTCCTATAAATCATCATCATATGAACGCGCCTATCAATGGAAATTACTTAAAAGCATAAAAAAAGGATAATTTTTCAAAGAGTTGAGGTGTTATGGAAATCATTCCCGATTTTTGTAGATATGTTTAGAGGATTTCTCACCAATTCAACTTAATATTTCGATTAAGGTCAGAATTGTGGGCATCCAATAAAAAAAATATATTTTTTTGTATATAGAATTATTTCCACTTTCGTCAACATTAAGATTTTTATTACGTTAACGAAAAAAAAAAGAATTTTTTTTTTTTAATTTTTTCAAATATTGTATGATAAGGTAAACTATTTTAAAAGCAAACCCAAAATCCAAGTTACGCGTGTTGAGAAATATATGAAAAAAAAAATATAAAGAAAAATAAAAAAAAAGAGAATCTAGTAAAAAAGGTTAGGCATATATCATCTATGTAACCTAAGATTTAGTTAAATATCGATTTTTTAATAAATCTGAAACTTTTCAGTATGATCGACGTGATTTCTCCTGTCACGTGATAGTAATTTATTGATGTCATTTAATCAATCAAATTTTTTTTTTTTGTATTTTGATATTCACTATAAATCATCTTTTTTATGTCCCATTGTTTTAACAGAGATTGTAAAAAAAAAAATTCTGGTTTTACGACAGGTAATTTTAAGCAAGGATCTTCAAATGTAAATCTGTATATTTCATATTTGACGCAATTATTTCAATCAGGTTTTTTCAACTTCAAAACGGTCTAAGGGGTTATCTTAGATGATCTTTTCCCTTAAAATGTCAATTGAAAAAAAAACTTTAGATCTCATTGTGGAGGGAAAGATTTCTTGTTAACCAGAAATGTAAATGCATTAACGAGACATTGTACTTTGTACTTTACATATGTGGCGGTAATTATTTATGTGATATGTATCATACAGTCGTTCTCTTTATAAAAGTCCCTTTTTGGGTTTTAATGTGAATTTAGTAAAAGTTGGTTGTCAAATTGGGGATTTTTGAATGAGATGGGATACTTAAACTGTTACCCAACAAATCCATTTAATTACCAATTAAACTTTCTTTGTTCGAGATTTCTAACAGGATTTGAATGAAGTTCCACATGTAAATAGTCTTTTTTTAAGTTTCTTTTTTTTCATATGATAATATTTAATTACTTGTATCACATTTTACAATACTTTGGCGGGAATTATTGTTAATTAGGTTAGTTTTTGGCCTGAGTTACCAACTTTTAAAAATGGTACGAAAAATAAAAATCAAAATATTACGTTTGTTTATTATTACTAATTATATCTGACAAATTAAATATTCATACTGTATTAAAAAAGTAGTCGTTCATCTGAAATGTGTAATTATTATAATTTAACCTTGAATAAATGTATAGATAATAAATAATTTTTCTTTTTACTAACATCGGGCTTCTTTAGCTCAGTTGGTTAGAGCGTCGTGCTAATATGATTCAGATTCAGTTACGCGAAGGTCATAAGTTCGAGCCTTATAAGAAGCAAAAAAAATTTTTTAATTTTTACGTAATTTTCTTGATCACATGATAATATTTTCACTGTAGTAACCAATCACATTTTAAAAAATTTCTCGTTGAAAGCGAAAATAAACTTTCCACAAAATGATATAATATAAATGTATAACTGTGATAACACCAAGAAATAAAGTAAACATCAAAAAATATGATGTTTTTCAGACAGAATGTTTTATTGTGTTACACAAATTCCATATATCCCTCAATGATACTTTATTAATCAAACTGATTAGCCCATAATTAAAACGCGTAATTACATCAAAAATCAAAAAAAAAAAAAAATTCTACGACTTCTACGTATCCTAGTGTAAAGGCAATTTATTATACCTCTGGACAAATATGCACTTTTCTTTTTGAAATAATGTTTCAATAGCAAATTGATACAAATAACCACTGAGCACTTGGTATGTAAAATAGCTTTAATTGATAAAAAAAAAAAAAAAAGAATTAATTGATTGAATTAAGGATTTAAGTAATTATCATATTGATTTTACGCTGATCTAAGACGATCGATCCGAAAAAAATTTATTGGCAACACAGTATAAGCCACAAAAAATTTTTTTCTAAATGTTTTCACGAATTCAGTTTAAACGCGCTATTTTCTTTCGCCCGATAATAGCTAATTCTAACCATATTTATAATAAAGGCTTACGAAGACCCTTTTCGACATCTTTGAAGCTTCAACTAGCCAACACAACTGTAAATTTTTCGGAACAACAACCCCAACATGATACGAGCCAAGAACCCAAAACACACTTTGGGTTTAAAAGCGTTCCAGAGGGTATGAAAGAAACTTTAGGTGAAAATTAAATTTTAAAAAATTTTGAATGATTGTTCAGGGATTATATCTCATCAATGAATATTCAAATCATTAATAGTTGGACAAGTTTTCGAAAATGTTGCAACAAATTACGATGTAATGAATGATGCAATGAGTTTGGGAGTTCATAGATTGTGGAAAGATCATTCAGTCAGAACCATGGCTCCGGGGCCCGGCACAAAATTATTGGATGTTGCTGGAGGAACAGGTAAGTAATTATTATCCAAAATACTCATAAATCAATTAATTGATTCATCATGGACTATTTTCTCAATCAGGTGACATCGCAATGGGATTCCTCAATTATTGTAAAGAAATTCATGGAGATACTAGCGCACAAGTCACATTATTGGATATTAATCCTAAAATGCTTGAAGTTGGTAGACAACGATTTGCCAAAACCCCATATCATAATAGTAAGCATTAAAATAACTATCCTGTGTTAACTATCTTGTTCGTTTGGATTTAACTTTATTCCGTCAATTTATAGCATCACAAGTAACATTTGAAATAGGAAACGCGGAAAATCTTTTGTCAATTCCGTCAAATTCGTATGATGTATACACAATAGCATTTGGCATTCGTAATTGCACTCATATAGACCGTGTATTACGCGAAGCTTTTAGAGTTTTGAAGCCTGGTGGAAGATTTATGTGTTTGGAGTTCGGTAAGGTCCGAAATCCTTTAATCTCATCGTAAGTTCATCTTTAGATTTTTCAAGTAATTCTACTAATTCTTGAGAATAATTGAATAATTAACTAATTTATATTTGTACATTTAGGATATATAATTTATATTCCTTTCAGGTGATTCCGATAATTGGACAAGTAATTGCTGCAGATAGAGACTCATACCAATATCTAGTGGAAAGCATTCGTCAATTTCCTTCACAAGAACAATTTGCAGAAATGATAAAGAAAGCAGGATTTACCATTGTAGGAGAAGGTTGGGAAGATCTGACTTTTGGAATTGCGGCATTACATTCTGGATTTAAACTTTAATTAGTTGAATAGATGTTTCAACATCACGTGCCAATTATTTAAAAAAAAGTGTTACACAAGATCGATTAAAATAATATAAGGCGGTGTTTTTTTTGTAAAAAAAGAATCTCAAAAAAAACTATTCTTTAATATGTCTTCACGTTTATTTATTAAATTATTATTAAACCGTTCACCAAAATATATTTCTCCTTATCCCACATTATTATCTTTTCAATTTACCAGAAATAATTCTTTCAAACCTTCCTTTCTTTCAAAAAATTCTTATTTTTCTTCCACGTCGCTATCTTCCTCGAATACTTCTAATAAACAATCGAAATTAAAAAAATATTATCCTTATATTTATTCCTATTTTATTTGGGTTACATTTGGTTCAATGTTGCTACATTTAACTTGGTCTAAAATGAGTTATAATGAATATAAAGAAAAAATGCAATTAAAGATTACAAAACTTGAAGAAACGATTGCTAAATTAGAAAATGGTGAAAACATAAATAATAATTTATTACCTACGAAGAGCAGAACTGATTCAGATAATGGTGATTTTTATTAATTTTTTTTTTCACAGATTAATAATAAGATAAATTAATTGATTTTTTTCTTATTTATAGAATTATACAATAAAGCAAAATTGGAAGAACAAAAAAGTAATATCATAACAACAGAATCTAATATAACAAAGCATCCAGCTAAATGGATATAATAATTAATCATCAAACATCTAGATCCATTGCATTATCATTTTTTTGGCTTGTATCAACTTCTTCCTTCTCTTTTAGTTTTAAATCTAATGCTTTTAAAAGCATTGTGCATTTAGATGACAAAATTTGTAAGGAATCAAAAACAATTTTTTCCGAATCTAGAATTCCCGTAGATTCAACTCTAACTATAGACATTAAAAACTCTTTTTTAATAATAAAATATCAATGTAAAAAAAAAATCAAATAAAAAAGGAATCTTACAAATAAAATGGTCCCGTATCCGTGTTAGTTGCACTTTGTCTTCAAACTCTTTGTGCCGTAATACTTCTCGACTGACCGTGTCAATTCGTGGATTCACAACCTTTGCAACTTTTATGGATTCCCCATCAACTAAAAAAAAAAGGGTTATTTTCTTCTTAAAAGTTTAAAATTAAGACAGTATCAAAACATTTACCATTTGTTTTCTCAACCTCAACAACGCCTGGAGCAAAGCACGAGGCAAACTTATCAGCCAGATCTCCAGTAATTTCCTCTTTTAATATTATTTCTGGCATTAACCTATATGACGCGGTTGCTGAATGAATAACGAAAATTTATTAACATTAAATTAGAAGAAATATGTAAGATAATATTTAGGTATTTTACCAGCTGGAGACCATTTTGCATGTTCTTTGCCACATCCTTTTTCACAATGTGCTTCCAACTCTATCTTTTGGCCCGGTCTCATTTGTGCTATAAGAATATCATCGTGAACAGGGCCAATGAAACAATTTTTAAACCTTTCAGCCTGATCACCCTTAGGTTCCCATGTTAGAGCTGCAGAATAAACTAAAAGAAAAAAAATTTGCATGTCAATAATTTGAAATAGTTTATTATAAAATAATAAAATAAATACCATTGTGATTTATATACAATTGTTTGGGATCTGTATCATTTGCTGTAGCTTTAGGATTACGTTTACATTCTTGTTTCAGTTTGAATACAATTGTGTTTTGATCTGTTGGATGCTCGGTTGCTATAAATTAAAATTTGTGAAGTGTAAGATTTAATTAAAAAACAAAAGAATAGGAAAAATAAGAAGATCATATAAGTTACATTGTTTAAAGTCAAATTGATCAGGATCGGCTTTGATTGGAATTAAACCTAACCGATGTGCCAATACTTCATCTTGTATTATTGATGTATTATCATAAATAAACACCTTTTCAATTGCCATAGTAGGTACCTAAATTGAAGACAGATTTTGTTAATATTAAAAAAGGATAATTTAAAAATTTGATCGAATAAATCATTTACCTCCGCGATCATAATTCTTCTCAACGCGTTCGCTATTGATGCATCAATTCCAATTATGTCAAATTCCATATCATATTGGGATTTTTTTTCAATGGCGATTTTTATTTTCTAGTAATGAATTAAAGCAGAGATAAATTAGACAAAATTACAATGTTCAATTTCCCAACCTAATTGGTAGACTCTGGAAAAAAAATTTGCTGAAGCATTACTTTTCTTAATCTTTCTAATACGTCATGGTTAGGATATTGGTTATTAGTATGAAAGGGAAAGTCACTTGAAGATATCTATAATGGAAGAAAAATAAAAGTTTAGAATTATTGAAGTCGAATCATTAAAATTTATACTTACACTAGAAACACTGTCACGTTCTACTACAACTCTTGTTTGGAGTACTTCTAAACGATCTTGAATTGTGGAGGCTTTTTTTGAGGTTGATTTTTTCATTTTTGAAAAGCGTTCTTTTTTCGTGTAGATAAAATTGTAATCACATCTTTCAGTGATGGTGACAATACAAAATTTAGATATGAACAAACATTAAACGTATACGACGTATACAATGCGTTATCTGTTATGACTTATGCATTACGTTTACTTTACACAACATTACGACATGTATAAATCATCTAATACCCACTCAGAAGTTTCTCCCGTTTGACTTCAAAATTAATTTAATCGTCAATTTAAAAACAAATTTTTTATGCTCAAAATTAAATAATTTCTTTTCTAAGTCGTTAGTTCGATTTTTATTTTATTTCAATAATTTTAAAAGGTAAAAAATATAGATATATATTTTACGCGTAAAAAAAAAAAAATAAAATAAAATAAAAATAAAAATACTAATCGGATTACGATTTATCAAATCAAAAGTCTATTTTAAAAATAATGAAGGTTCTCATTTGTGGTGGAGCTGGTTATATTGGTTCTCATCTTGTTCGTGAACTTGCCTCTGTACCTGGTTATGAAATTATTATCGTTGATAACCTTTCTAAAGGTCATGTAGAATCTATCCCTAAAGGCATAACCTTTGAACAAGCAGATATTTGTGATAAACAATCCATTGAATCCGTTTTTGAAAAACATAAACCTGGAGCTGTAATGCATTTTTGCGCTTCTATTGAAGTCGGAGAAAGTGTTATTGATCCTTTAAAATATTAC